TTTTTTTTTTTTTTGGTTAGGATCGAATCTGACAGCACTCGTGAAGAGATGAAGTCTGATGTGACAAAAATTTCGAAATTGTTTTTGGACCAACGGGTCATAATTATTGGTGAATTGAATGTAAAAACCGTATTGGTTCCTTACTTGTCTTTCGTGAACAATATCAGTAATGCGTTATTAAGGTCGATTTTTGTAGTGATGTTGCTGACGAGATCCTGGATTTTTCTGAAAAATCATCTGTCCTACACTATTTCGTTTGAACTTGAATCTTTCTTACTCAGAACTGTGAGACGCAGCTTTTGGACGGGCAGCGCTGCTGATCCAAAATAGGAATAGTTTGTTATTACAATCTTTATGATGATACTTTTACCTCAACTATCTCTGAGTTGGCCGCACTACGTTTTCCCATGTTCTACTAGGGAACACTCTGTTGGTGCCTATTACCTTGACGGCGTCACATCATTTGCCGGTCTATTGTCAAGCCATAAGTCTACCAAGTCGTTACAAACTGTGTCTCTAGTACTGCTGTAGGATGTATAGCTCGTGAATGGGTCAGTACCTGGAAGAAACTGGTTGGAACTTCATTTTCATTGGTCTCTTCTCGAGACAATTTCATATTCTAATCTGTAATTAACCTACCATAAGTGGCCAATGCTACGTTGATTGAATCATTTCGTATGTTAAGATATCGCAAGACCGATCTTGTCATCGAGTACTCCTTCAATTAAATAGTTAGACTATAACGACTAAATTAGAATCGCATCTCCCTCGCTAGAACTACGAATTTTGCATTTCTCGCTACTAAAACAAGGGAAGCAAAACCATCGTGTCCATATCACACTTTTTTTTTTGATATCTTGGGCTACTCTACCTGATTGGCGCATAGTTGATGCATTCCAACGATGTCTTTCTCCCAACATTTTTCAATACAATGTAATACAACAAAATATTTATGCCATTCCGAATTTTTTTTTGTTTGGATTTTTTTGCAACTTCCTGGTTCGAATAAAGACCGCTCGTTATGATAGGAAGAAGAACCCATGTGTGAATTCTCGGCCTCTATGAAATGGCCACGTAGAGCAACGACTTCAACGAACTCACCTGACCCCTATCATTCGCTATATCGGATATGTCGTCAATAGCTATTACAACATGACGTTCACAAGAGTACCTAACACTATCCGTTGAGGCGCATAACGATTCTTCGGCATAACCAATGCGAACGAACCCTGAAAGTAGAAATAACAACTGACATAGATTGGTTCTTCGTTATCGCAAAGTAGTTTTTGTAGGAAATGTTCATGGGGGGCTATCCCATTGTTGAGAAACATACTTCGTGTAATCCATCAGCTGTTGTGGGAAGATATTTAGATAGTGGTACATAGGCGCCCTTGATGGTTCCTACAAGAACTTTCAATACTAGTAGACACCTTTCGTGAAGGTTTTTTTTACGTTGATCATTACCGTTTGAGGGATGCGCCCCGCATTCGTCCTCCATTCAGGGATCATAGTAACGTATTGAATGAGGCCTATACACTGTCTTGTGGTGGTCAGCTGATGGAATAGTCTGTGCTCTTACCTCCCAAACTAGTGTGGTATCGATCAATTGAACTCGGAAGGGTGTAAGGCTTGTTTGGCCTAAGCGGATATCGACCTGGACCTGGAACCCGTGACCATGCGTGTGTCATAGTGCGCCGTTTGCCACTACACCTTCGCTTTACTCTTTAAGGGTTGACGGTGATTTTTGCAGTCTGAAAGGTATTTAAAGGTTCTTCAGAGTCCTGCAGCCACAAAGAGATGTGATTGATATACATATACACAATACACAAGCAGACGACCAAATTCTGTGAATTGTCTCATTTAATCTTTCCGCACTCCTCGCTGGAAGGATGACTAAAAAATTACGGCCCCTTAACTATTATCGATACCTGAGTCATGCCCAATACATACTTGTGCCCGTCTGTTCCACCTCTAACCTCTTGCAAACGACCTGACACTCCTTCGTGAAAGTGCCAACACACGCATCAGATTTGAATGATCAAAAGCTGCAAAATGACTTTTTTATGATAATGTTCTCTGGCTGATCTCAATTGGTAAATTGCTAATTTGGGCAGTTAGCTATCGGAACAAAAAGCTGCATTTATGTAAGTCTGCTTCCTGGCCCAGTCCTCATATTACGATCCTAAACCTACGGTGAGGTGACAGTGATCCTTAAATTCTGATTCTGAAACATTTTGCCGTAATTGCTATTGTATGCTATTTGGCGCCTATGCGTGTGTGAAATTTTTTTGAAAGCAGGTTTGGCGTGAATTAATTTTTGAACTAATTGTTCATGGTCTCTGAATTAGTAAATTCAACGAATTAGATACGATGTTTTGAAATTTCACTGTAACAGTCATTTCATTTGATCAAAGGGTTTTTTCTGTTTTTAGACGATTTTTCCTTATATGAAAAAGTCATTCCTATTGTAATGATTCAGGTCAAACTCACCAGCCAGGAAGAGCGCGTATAGGATGAGTCGCAACATCCTTTCTGCCGTGTAAAGGATTTTAACAACTTTCCTGTTCAATAATGTCAGGTGAATCGGCCTTATAGATGCGTGAACTTTTTTTTAACACTCTGGAAAACTCGACTGATAAGATTAGAATATTCGCCCTGTCTGGCTTCGATTTCGTTGCAAAGTCACAAAACACAATTGAAGTTTGATGCCCAAGGTAAAAGCTCAGGTCAGTTTTGGCTAGTCCTTCCTAGCCCATAGGTATGCGGAACTGGCTTGCCAGCCTTTTTATGGGTCCTGCTGTCCTGGTGCAACACCTTCTTTTCACCAGCACTGAAGCACTGTACAGGGTGACCCACATGAAGTGTGACGGGCAATAAAAAAAACAACTTATAGGCTTCTGGGCTATAGGAAGCGGTGATCGCTTGGGTGGAAAGGAGCGCGATGAACGTCAGCTGAACCTTCCACAGGATTGGGCACGAGCCCACAGCACAAAGAAGATGCTGCAATGTTGTGAAACCACGCTTCCGGGTTTTTGGGGCGAAGCAGTTTTGACCTTCAAATTCCGCGATCTCAATCCTTTGGATATTGGTGTATAGTCGATTCTGGAGCAAAAAGCCTGCGCTTTCTAACAAAGGCCTTAGGAACCTCTGAAAGAAAGTGCTCTTGTAGAAGCGTGGGATGAAAGTGATTGCGCGCATTCTTGAAAACTTCCGAAAAAGGTTGGATGCTTGCATTAAAGCGAAAGATTGTCACTCTGCATGCGAGATGTGATATGTTGTTTACAATTTTGTGATGATTGTGTAGGAGTAATGGTTTTCTATTTAGTTTTATCTGTATAATTTTGATGATAGTTTTCTGCGTCACACTTCATGTGGGTCACCCTTATATGTTCGCTATTGAATAAGCGAGCATAAACAAACAAATGCTTATCTCAGGTTTTTATCGTCCTCCTTTGCAAGCTGACATCAATGAATAGGTGTTAGCCTTTCATATAATTTATTTTTTATGATCTTTTCAATGATTGTCGAAACCTACTGTTTGAGCTGTTATCAATTACAGAAGAGGATTATGAGTACTGTAATCACACAGAAAAAGCATTTGCGCTTTACCATTGTTCAAAAATTTGTGGCATCCCACCATTTCTAGGGGTTTCATTATAAACAACTTTCATTTTTGTAGTTCTCTGTTTAGGTTCATTTATTCTTTTTTCGCGCCACGGAAATTGCAAATCGTGCGTTGAAAAAAACCCTCTCGAAATGTTTCTTGCACGAAGTTTTCTTTCGAATTAATGAAGCTGGCGAGCATTTCACTTCAACTTTTCAGTGTTATCGACAGTTCGACAGTTAGTTTTCATCATCACAAACAATACTTGGTTGGTCTTTTACTTAGGTTTGTTTTCACTTTTCACGCTTCGTTCTCACTGTCTCTTTAGGTGGCCTCAAAAATAAGGTCATATGTCATGCAATTTTAATTTTAAAAAACTCGAAAATAGAAATTCAATAATGAAACAAATAAAAAGGGCGGACTACAGATTTCTTTTCCGCGAATGCGAACAAGTAACATCGCTATCTGCTTCTGCTGGAGATGCAAAAACGTGCGTTCCTGCGACTGATAAGTGTCAAAAGAGTATCGATATCTTTTCATGTTTGAGAGGCAGGTAAACAATTTGTTCATTGCTGTCAGCCTGCAAGAGAACGCAAAGGCACTGAAAAAAATAACTTCAGCTTTCGAAAGCGGCCTCGTGATAAATAAGCAACAGCCCAAGCCATTCACGATCTTGAAACTGGGCAATCCTGTGCATGCCACTTAAAATTGAGGTCTGACATTTCCTGTGCAGTGTTTCCCTCTGTCGAAAGTTCTGATCGGTCAAACCAGAAAATGATGTTCCTGTGCATATTGCAAATTGATTGAAGCTATTGGATGGAAAGTTTCTGAGGCTATAATTTGTGACAGCTTTATGCTTTATTATAGTTGACATGTGCACCATAGGGTGAGGCTTTTATAGTCAAGTATCACATAGCAGTGACTAACAGTGTGAATGTATAGCCAGTGTAGTTTTCACTAGTCAAGCCCATGATGGTTAGAATACGACCGTTGAGCAATCTTCTACAACACCTCTCCCACAAGAAGAAATAGTGGGAGTAAAAAACAGAAAAATAACGACAAGATTCATCTGATCACAAATGTTCATTCCTCTACGTGTAGGACTTCAGCCTGTCTTGGCTTGAACTCGGCTCTTCCTGACGCCTCTCCACTGCCTCTTTGGTCAGCATATTATATACTGCCTGTCCGTGACGACAGAGAACTTTTGCATTTTTCCATTTTTTGCATCCATTTTTTTCCTCCTCTTCGAACATCCATAACCCAGACACTATCTCCTGGCTCAAAAGATTCTAGACGGGAGCCGTGATGGCGGTTGAAGTGGTCTTTCATGTTCTTGTCTCGCTCCGCAGTTACATGTCGAGGCATAGTAAGCAAAGTGAGTGGCGTACGGAGTCGATGTCCCAGAAAGTTCTCTGCTAATGATCGCCCTTCTGGTGAGCATGTGCTCCGATAGGACAAGTGCATTTCTATGCTACTCCGTCAAGTCCTGCTATCCTAGAGTAGATGATTTGTTGAAATATACCTGGAGCTGACTTCACCCTCAATGGTAGACGGTTGTAGTAGAAAAGGTCACGATGGGTATGGATTGTGAGCAATTCTTCTGGGTCTTCATCTACTTAATTTGTAGGTATGCATCAGCTTGGACGATCTGCGAGAATAGCTGGCCACCGTTGAGTTTTGTGAAGTTTTCTTCTGTTGTTGGCAGTGGAAGTGATGAAGTGAAAGGGAACCATTCAGTCCAGTCGAAATATCCGCACATAGTCGGACACTGCCATTGCTTTTCTTAACAACAACTATTGTTGCTGCCCATCTGGGAGATCAACTGCTGTCAGAGCTTCTTCTTGAACTAAGCGGCCGATTTGTTAACGGCTGGCTGAGAGGCAAATGGCTGAGGTCGCTTTTAACGGTATATGAAGATTGTGAAATCAGTATCAAAACATCCATGGCTATGCATGTTTTGATGCTGATTTCACCTTGGATCGAATTTCTGGTCAACAGTCAAACCCGTGGACGAACACGTCGTATGTGTGTTGCGGACATTAGAGGGCAAGAAGTTTGCAGAAATTCGAATCGCCGAACGATCAAATAGTTTTGCCAGTGTTTCGACAGTAGTGTGTAAATCAGTGTTTCGCGGCTTCAACGGTAACGCGTGTTCCGAATACGTCTTGTATGTTGCCTTCACCAGCTTATCAATGATAAGGTTTCGCTTACAGTCATCGGAAAGTGGAGAGATTCTTGGTCATCGAGTACTGGTCCATAGCGTTTGTACCATGCATCAAACGTGGAATCGTTGTCCTTTCGTAGTTAAAATACGGAAGGACCCGCATTGCGTTGACGTACGCATCTGGAGAGGATTGTTTTAAGAGTGACTGCTCCGGTAGCAGCTTCTGCTCTACAAGCAAGTTTATCAGTCGATGCATCTGCCGTTGAAGGTCTTTGATGTAGCTGGAGCGTCGCTTGGTATGTCGTAATTCTTCGGCATCCTAATCGCCAGTGTTGCAGCTCTGAGAAGTAGTGCTCTATTGAGCACAAGACAACGACTGACACTAGTCAAGCCCATGAGAGTTAGAACACGACTGTTTAGCGGTCTTCTACAATATAAACTGCGGTGGAAGTTAGAAAGGTAAGTAATATATGATGGAACAGTTTCTTATTCAAGTGATAGAAAAGTTAGATGAAATACAGGGTGGGCCAAAATTATGGTGACGGCACGCGCTGGTGCTCATAATTTTTCAAATTTTTTTCGGAATTTATAACATTTCATCCGGTTCTTCATTTTCGCAAAGTAGATAGGTAGATGAATGATATTTAGATATAGATAGATATCATTATTTCTTCACTACTGATGCTGAACTTTTTACGTATTTCAAAATAATCTAAGCGTCACTACTCCGAAAATCTTCACTTTGTATTTACAAGCACTTTTGGCACGGGACATCTGCGCACGACTGAATATAAGGGGCAGCTGGTATATTCAACCATAAGACTAATTGTAAGTGGAAATTAAGCAGGGCGGAGGTCTGCGTAGCGGTGAAGTTCTTTCTGTGCACAAAATGGGTGAAGAAATGGATATCTTCTGAAGTTTCCTGGGCAACATCGTGAAATCCTCTGCATAACAAGGTCTGTATACGAACAGAAAATGATTTCTCGAGTGAGCACGTTAAAGAGAAGAGAAAGATCGGCTCAAAACAACTGCTGCTCCGTTTCCGAAGAAATCGTCATAGGGAATCCTTGTTAATTGGCGAAAAGATATTCACGGTGAAAAAGGTCTCACTGAGCAGAGCCACAGGATTTATATGAAGAAGAAAGAAATGGATTTGATACAGCGCTGGGCACTCTAACCTTCTGGCTGGCCTTTGCGCGCATCACCGCCGGAGCATAAAGACAGTGTTTTTGCAAACTAAGGAGTCAAATCCAATTTGGAGAACTATTGATTTTGCCAAATGCAATTTGACTCTATGACGGTTCATACCGAACATTATGTCGATATGGAGCTCTTGATCGTAAATCAAAAATTGATCTGGAATTTCATAGAGGGTTTATAACGTTTATAACTTCCGATAATGGCCACTTAAGAGCCCTGACCTGAATCTCATGGATGCCTCAGTATGGGGTCAGCCTTGAAAATTTAAGCGTGTGTCAGCCCGAAAAAAGAACTGGAATAATCACGAAAATCCTTACAATAAGGCGGAATCAACTCGTTGGTCCTACCTGCGCGCCACCGTCCACGCCTTCTACCATCGTCTCTGGGCCTGATAAAGTGGAAAGCAACAGATCTCAATTTCAATGTTCCTTTTTTAAAGAGATTACTGATGTACACTTTTTGAAATTGATTTTTTTTATTATCTTTCTGTTCGTTTCCGATAATGTGATATCTGTGCCAGCATAATTTTGACCCACTCTGTAGACAAGTTCGTCACCAA